CAAAAAAATTATAAATGTAAAGATTATGTTTGAACAAGAATCAAATATTGCTGTAATAACGAGAAATTGTCGCATTAATACTTATTATAAGTATGATGATAAACTTTGATAAAAATTATCTAAAAAATACAAAGAATGAAATAAATCATGAAAAATATGTTATATTTGCAATACATTACACATTCGCGTAACTATATTATTGCTAAAAAAAATACACGAGCTTTTATTTTAAAATTAAAAGCAAAATTACGATATGGATTTTCTATGAGAATAATTTATTAAAGTAATAATACGGCTATAATGAGGGTTGATCAAATTAAGAGGGGAATTTTATCCAAAGATTTTTAGATATATATATTATATTAAAATTGTAGAGTATATTTAAAATTGTAGAGATGAATAATTGCACCTGATGGAAGATACACCAGCAATGTGGAGAGAGAAAATAATTAAATTAACTGAAGGACCCCTGTGAAATATATGAGATATGAGGGGAGGGTAAAGTTCTTATGGTTCATCCTGCCCTAGTATCTGAATATATAAAACTTCTTATATCTAATAAGGAGAGTTAGAGAGGAGGGAGGGGAGGGGGGGTGAGAGTCAAAATCTTATATTATTTATTTGAGGATAGGTTATATCTGGTGAACCTAGTATATATTATAGGGAAACTAATTCCAAATCCTCCAATTATAAAATAATTGTAAAAAAAATTATAATAAATGCATGATTACTAAAAGAATTATAAATATAGTTACTAAAAAATTATAAATTTGATTATTATTAATTAGATTTAGAATCTAGAATCCGCAGAATCTTAATTCCAATCGGATGAATATTCTTATCAATGAGCCAAGCAATCAGCTAAAATAAAATAAAGAATTCCAATATTTTTATGATTAATTCGTTCTTATTAAAATTTATTTGAATAAAAATATTATAAAATATATATACCACGAAGTGCGTGTAACTTAAGGTAACTTAACTCCTTAAGGTAACTTTCTCTTCGCAGGTTCTTCGTGTACTCTAACAGGTAAAGTGGAACGTGGGCCACACTTCCACACATTACCATCTTTGTCGAGTATACTCGCGCTCGCTGTGATTTGATATTGACCACCGGTACTCGGGACAGTGTTTGCACCAACCGTGCATGGTGGTACAATCGTAGATCCAGGTACTCCCAAGGACAATAAAAATTCACAAGCGAAGAAATCCCGATGAGGTGTTACCGTTTGCTGCAGTTCGTTCATATTGGAATCCTGTAAACAAATATGCGCTTTATTTAATATTATTTAATATATTAAGTGTACAACTTTGCTTCCGCCGTTTTTTCCCGAAATTCGAGGCTTTATTGTAAAAAACTGGTTATACATTTATGATTCAAAGTATTGTCCATCGCTGGCCACTACTTTCTCCTATCTTTCGGGTAGCATACGAATCCCGCGTCGAAAAAACTGGTCATCTTTTGAGGCTATCCATGAATCGATCCAATTTTTTATTTCTTCATAAGACCGGAAGTGCTGGTCAGCCAGGCCATGTGCCATTGATCGAAACAAGTGATAGTCAGAGGGAGAACGTCTGGAGAATATGGCGGGTGGGATAGGACTTCCCATTTCAACGTTTCCAAGTATGTCTTGACCACTTTCGCAACATGGGGTCGAGCATTGTCATGCTGCAAAATCACTTTATCGTGTCTCTCGTTGTATTGTGGCCGTTTGTCTTTCAATGCTCGGATCAAACGCGTTCGATACCGATCGCCTGCGATTGTTTCAGTCGGTTTTAACAGTTCATAATACACTACGCCGAGCTGGTCCCATCAAATACAGAGCATGACCTTGGACGTCAAAATCAACGTTCTTGAAGCGTTGAAACCACTCA